AAGTACAAAATGTCCCCACCAATTAGTGATCCCGACAAATGGTTATCCTGAAAATGAGTAGTCAAGACTTTACCGACACAATTTGAGGACGGAAAATCAAAAATGGCGGCCTTTAAATTTACCTAGAATGCCCAAAATTCAGTTGGTTCTAGATTTTAATACTAAGAACCACCCCTGAAAATTTGAAATTGATCCGTCAAACAGCTAACCAGAAAACATGTAAACAAGACTTTACAGACAAGATTTTAGGATGGAAAATCCAAAATGGCTGCCTTGAAATTTACCCAGAATGTCAAAAAACTAATCAATTCTAGATTTTCATATTAAGAATCATCCCTGAAAATTCGAAATTGATCTACCAAACGGTTCACCTAAAAACGCATAGACAAGACTTTACAGGCAAGATTTTAAGACCGAAAATCGAAAATGGCTGCCTTGAAATTTATCCAGAATGCCAAAAAACTAATCAGATCTAGATTTTCATACTAAGAATCACCCTGAAAATTTGAAATTGATCTACCAAACGGTTCACCTGGAAATACGTAGAAAAGACTTTACAGAAAAGATTTTAGGACAGAAAATCCAAAATGGCTGCCTTGACATTTACCCAGAATGCCCAAAAACTAATCAGATCTAGATTTTCGAAAATTTGAAATTGATCTACCAAACGGTTCATCTGAAAACGCGTAGACAAGACTTTACAGACAAGATTTTAGGACGGAAAAATCCAAAATTGCCGACAATAAAAAAGGAAACAGTTGTTTTGCCCTGGCAAACAATTTTCCAACATGTATTTCAACTTCATTTCTGTCTATTTGTTGACAGTCTGTGATGTCATCAACAATCATCACAATAGAATGAGGTAATTCACGATGACATCACAAAGTATCTGTGATGACATCATCAATCATCACAATGGAAACGAGATAATTCATGATGACATCACAAAGCATCTCTGTCATAGATAGAACTCTGCCACATTTCTTAGAAATCAAACTACTATGTGACATCATAGACAATCTCGCTGTCACAGATAGAATTCACCTAATTCCCATTGTGATGATTGATGATGACATCACAGACTGTAAACACATATAGATAGAAATGAATTTTAAATGCATCTTGGGATATTGTTTGCTAGGGCAAACAGAACAGTTTCAGCTATTAATTCTTAATTCTATTAGGAATTTTTAACTAACATTAGTTCAGCAATCTATGTCAGAATGATGGGTCTTAAATCTTGAACTACCTTTAGACATCACTTCCTAAATAATACCAGCAGAAAATGGAGTATCTCTTTTTATGCTCAGCATAAAATGGGATATCACTTTTTATGCCAGCATAAAATGGGACATCACTTTTTATGCTGGGCATAAAAAGTGATATCAAAAAATTACTCTTTTCAAAAACCAACAAATCCGGGTATTTGTTACAGTCCATTTTTATATAATCCGCTGTTCTAATCAGATGTAGAATGAAGTGAGCTGAACAAGATATTAAAGGCCGAGTTCCGGGAAATATTAACACAATTGAACATGTTGAACAACTAATATACATACTTTTTGTGGCTTGGTTGAATCCCAAGTTCCGATGTGCCTCATCAAGAAAACGATAGAGTGACAAAGATTATGTCAAGCGGAGTTTATAATTTTTGTGCAAATTTTCTTCTTGGATCGAAAAATTCATTTTAATTCGATTAACTTACGATAGGTGGCTAAAGGTAGGTCACGTGACACAAAACAACGAATCATATGACACGAAACAATGATTCATTCGCCAGATGGCGCAGTTAAATGAGGTCAATTTTACGACAAACGAAAACCGTTTAGCTCAGCTTCAATTTTGCTCTCGCAGTCGAACGAAACTGACACTTCTTTCGTTGATATCTAGGTGAGTGATTTTTTTCAGGCTCCGGTATTTTGACAAAAGTAAGTTCACGTCGTAGCCATTCTTGGGGGCAGGTTTGAGGCACCAACGATTTATTTTGAAGTTTTTCTAAGGAATTATTCCTGATTTCCGGTATTGCCCCTTTAAAGTTTTAAAAGCAACTGTAAAGCTGTTTTTCTTAAAGTTTGCAGATAAGGATTTTAGCATTTGACTTCAAAATGGCTGACAGGAAGTAGGTATCGAGTTTAATTTTTTCATCCACATCTGTATGCACTCATAAGTTATCCCTCAGGAGGAGTGAGTAGCTCCCATGATTCTTTCATATTCTATCGTATTCGGGGATTCCCCATTACATCATCTCTTGCATCATCTCCAATCAAATTGCAGGATTCGATCACGTGAACAATCATGAACACGTGCTCTCTCAGTGCTGCGCATGCGCAGAGTTAAATTTGAAATCCTAGGAATGGCGTTAACATCAGTTCAACATCATCATTTCAAACCTACGGTAATACTATTGAAGTTACTCGATCCATACTTGTAGAGAATACTCATAAAACTACAGTGAACATTTGGAGAACTATTTCAATGGCAAATTGAGGCCTGTTTATAAAATTTGTTTTCGAAAGTGCTAATATGATAGGGCATCTTTGGGAAATCTCCCCCCCCCCCTGGTTACCCCTGAAAATTTGAAGGTGATATCTGTAGCATTTTTGGAGAAAATTGTCTGATGTACGGACAGACAGACAGACAGACAGACAGACAGACAGACAGACAGACAGACAGACAGACAGACAGACAGACAGACAGACAGACAGACAGACAGACAGACAGACAGACAGACAGACAGACAGACAGACAGACAGACAGACAGACAGACAGACAGACAGACAGACAGACAGACAGACAGACAGACGGACGTGCCTAGGCCGACAATATGGCCCCACACTATGTGGTGGGCACATAAAAAGAAACATGGCCTAATTTGTGTAAAAGCCCAGTAATAGGTTTGTGTCTCACTATAAATCTCACTATATATGAGTGGAGTACAACCCAGATCCAGATGTATGTAATAGTATTGATGCTATCAATGGATGGTGTTGTTCATGCCCAGTTGGGAGTAGGGCTGTAGGCACAAGGGGTATAAAAGCAAAAAGAACTGCACAAAGTTTAATATTTTAAAATCAAAAGATATGTCTGAAATGTTGTCATTTGAAGAAGATGATGATAGCTCATAGAGTCTCTTATTATAATGAAGAAACACATGAATGTGCTCATCTACAGAAGAACAACAGTTATGTTAAGTCCAGAGTAACCTTTTAGAAATTGTTATATTTTATATAAAATAATAAATTCAGTATTTCACAGCCACTTTAATGCAAACTGTATATGAGCAATTGCTCTCAAGAAAGCAGATCAATAATATAATTGATTGATATGCATTACTGACTTGTTAATAATTACTTCATGTTTTTTCTCATGTTGCCCCTTGTTCTTTCTCATTGTGATGTAAATTAAAAAACTCAATATTGTTTTCTGACACATTTTTGCAAACTTTTTTGTAGACAATTGATCTCAATAAAGTATAAAGAAGACCACTATTCAGTAATTTTTTTGCATTTTTGACTTGTTATATTTTATGTGTTTTCGAATGTTGCCCATTATGCTTTGTCACTATTATGTAAGATAATACCAAGAGGATCAATTAAAAAAGTCTTAAATGACTGTAAATAATGATTATTTTGATAATAAATAGAAACAGTGACAATAATGATGTGAAAAGAGTGATTTTTCCTTCAAAAGGTCATTTTATACATGTTGATAGAATGACCTATATTTTGAAATATACATGTAGAGGTTAGAATGACCTAATTTGTGAACCTGGTTATCAAACAAAGTCCTTTCTTTAATATCCTGTACAATTTCTTCTAAACATCTTGGGGGCTGATATAGGGTCTTAAAGGCACTCGTCCTTTACATGTTGTGATCATTATATATGAATATTTCCAACTTGTGGCATGTTATTTTCAGATTCTCAACATCACCCATTTGCTCTAATAATGCCAGGAAGATGGCAGATTCTATAAGATTCAATTCAAGTAAAGCTGAATGACTAATGCTGAAAATTGAAACACTTATTTACCCACCTATTACACCAAACTAGTTCTTACCCGTTCTTGCCAGTCCTACGAAAACGTCGTAAAACGGGCTCAATCTGGCTGTGGTCGGGAAATATGTCTAAAATAATTAGCTACTTCATTCATGAACAGTCTGCAGTACGTCCATCTCATTCGCAGTTTGTTCAGGTCGCATCACATCGGTGTGCAACATAGTATAACGCGTCCCTTAGTCTAGAAGGTCATCATGACCTGATTACAGAATGGTATGGTCGCCATCGAATTTTGAATCGATTCAAAATTCTAAAATCACCTTCCCGTCTTCGAACGTTCATGAAGTTCGTAAATAGACCTTAGAAAGTTGCAGTTACATCCATTCCGTTCGCACACAGTTTAAAACCAGTTTTTAAGAACACATTGGCAACTTGTTTGGTGTGCTAGCTATATTTCTGCTAACTCGTTCATAAGCAGTCTTAAATACGTTCTTAATCAGTTTAAACCCATTTGCAATTAGTTAAACCTCAATCTCAATACGTCCTCAGAAGTTCAACTCATTATTAAAACGTCCCTAGCAGGATTGAAGTACGACGGTTCCGTTCGTAGTACGTCCAGCTCGTCATTAGTACGTTCTCACTCGTTCTAATTGTAGAATGTATCGACCACAAGAAAATTTTGAGCAGGTTCTAAGTTCTAGAGGACCTACCTGTTCGAGTACGTTCGATGACGTTTGTAAATAGACCCCAAACGGTTCTAAGTACGTCCAGTCCGTTCTTACACAGTTGAAGCCTGTTTTCAAGAACGTAGTGAAAACTAGTTTGGTGTGATAGTACGGTAAGACTGAGCTCTATGAAAGAACATAATGGGTGAAATATCAAATATATCAAGAAGATACTTTTGACTATACAAAGTATCCTGTATAGTTATATGGAAGCAGAAAGTTAATTACAAATATCATATTATATGATAATACTAAGTGGCTTTAATGCTATACCCTACCTCACAATATTGTGATATATTACACTTCAAAATCTCAATCTCTTCTTTTGACCACTGTCCCTGCTTCCAGTCATGCCCTGAAACAAAATACATATCCAATATACATTTAAACATGAACTAGAAAACGGCAACTCCAGATAACATATATCAATCTGTATTTGTCACAAAATTTGTCACAAATATTAGAGATATATCACATGTAGTAGAATAGACAAAATATGGGACTTTTATACGCAAATTACATGGCCATATAAGTTGTTGTAATCGGTTTTAACTAGGAATAATTTTGGCCATATGACAGATGAAGATTTTGGTTTATTATACGGAAAGAAAATATATCCTAGTATCTTCTAATTTCTCCTGCAAATATTAATATAACGCATAATATTTAACCTAGCCTGACATATAATACAAATTATTCCCTTTAGTCATGTGCAAAACTGGATATACTTGCATACCTGCCAACCTACCATATTTTTACAGGAATCTACCGTAAAATTTTTGTTTTTCCGTAAAAAAATGACAAACTACCATAAAAAATTTACCATTTTTCCCGTAAAAACTAACGTAAAAAATCTGTAAGAACGGCTGTAAAATATACTGTAAGTATTTGGAAATCTACTGTATTTCTGCTGAAATTAACAGTATTCTTGTTCAAACTACCCTAAAATCTACCATTATTGTTTGGAAATTCTGAAAAATTGAAGTCTTCCCACATTGCCCTTGTAATATTCCATTACCAACCAGAAAATAAATAGGTGTCAGCAGGTCGGTGACAGTGGTAATTGCGTATTGCTTACTTAGTAAGTAACTAAGTAAGCTGGCGTGTAATCAGTCAACACACTGGGGAGTATCGTGATGCAAAAACTACCACATGTATATATACATACTGTAGTTATAAAAACACCGAAGTGTTCAAATCTGTTTATGAGAGTTCATTGAATGCTGTGTTAGAAAAACATACTTTATTATTTATTCATTAAAGTGTGTCAAAATCTACGCAAAATCAGTTTTTTAATCTACTGCAAAAACTACCGCATTTTTTCAAAATGTTCCACAAAAACTACCACATTTTTTTTAATCTACCGTAAAACTACCGCATTTTTTAAAAGCTTCCACAAAACTACAGTTAATTTCAAAAATCTACCGCAAAAACTTCTGCATTTCTTCAAAATCTTCCGCAAAACTACTGTTTTTTCAAAAATCTACCGCAAAACTACTGCATTTTTTCAAAATCTACAGTTAAACTACCGTATTTTTCAAAAACTTCCAAAAAAGTACCATTTTTTCAACAATCTACCGCAAAAACTACCGAATTTTTTCAAAATATATCATAAAAATACCGCATTTTTGTCGAAAATTGTCGCAAAAACTACCGCATTTTGAAACAAGGCATTAACATGACAAAATGTCACCACCTAAAACAATTTGGTCAATTTAAAGCAAGTTGGAAAATACCTTTTGACCTTAAGAAGGTTTTTGAAGATTTGAGCTTCTGGGATCTTGTAGATGATTTTGAAAAAAAGAAATTGTTCAATCTGAAGCAAGTTAAAACTAGTTGCACACAATATTATAGTGATCAAAAGTTAAATAGTATAAGCATAAGTCAGATTTGAACTTCTTAGAACATGTAGATGATTTTGAAAAAAAAATTCGTCAATTTGAAGCAAGTTGAAAAAATACCTCTTTGACTTTTTTGAGCTTGAGAAGGTCATTGAAGGTCAAATGTCAAATGTAAAGTCAGATTTGAACTTCTGAGAACATGTAGATGATTTTGAAAAAAAAATTAAGTAAATTTGAAGCAAGTTGAAAAAAGACCTTTTTGACCTTGAAAAGGTCATTGAAGGTAAAATGTCAAATCAAAAGTCAGATTTGAACTTCTGAGAACATGTAGATGATTTTGAAAAAAAATAGTCAATTTGAAGCAAGTTGAAAAAAGACCTTTTTGACCTTGAGAAGGTCATTGAAGGTCAAAGGTCAAATCTAAAGTCAGATTTGAACTTCTGAGAACTTGTAAAGTCAAATTTGAACTTCTGAAAAGATGTAGATGATTTTGAAAAAAAAAATTGGTCAATTTGAAGCAAGTTGAAAACAGACCTTTTTGACCTTTTTTGACCTTGAGAAGGTCATTAAAGGTCAAATGTCAAATCTAAAGTCAGATTTTAATTTCTGAGAACATGTAGATGATTTTGAAAAAAAAAATTAGTCAATTTGAAGCAAGTTGAAAAAAGACCCTTTTGACCTTTTTTGACCTTGAGAAGGTCATTGAAGGTCAAATGTCAAATCTAAAGTTAAATCTAAAGTCATATTTGAATTTCTGAGAACATGTAGATGATTTTGAAAAAAAAATTTAGTCAATTTGAAGCAAAATGAAAAAATACCTTTTTGACTTTTTTGACATTGAGAAGGTCATTGAAGGTCAAATGTCAAATCTAAAGTCAGATTTGAATTTCTGAGAACATGTAGATGATTTTGAAAAAAAAATTTAGTCAATTTGATGCAAGTTGAAAAAAGACCTTTTTGACCTTTTTTGACTTTGAGAAGGTCATTGAAGGTCAAATGTCAAATCTTAAGTCAAATCTAAAGTCAGATTTGAATTTCTGAGAACACGTAGATGATTTTGAAAAATTTTTTTAGTCAATTTGAAGCAAGTTGAAAACAGACCTTTTTGACTTTTTTTGACCTTGAGAAGGTCATTGAAGGTCAAATGTCAAATCTAAAGTCAAATTTGAAGGTCAAATGTCAAATCTAAAGTCAAATCTAAAGTCAGATTTGAATTTCTGAGAACATGTAGATGATTTTGAAAAAAAATTTAGTCAATGTGAAGCAAGTTGAAAAAATACCTTTTTGACCTTGAGAATGTCATTGAAGGTCAAATGTCAAATCTAAGTCAGATTTGAACTTCTGAGAACATGTAGATGATTTAGAAAAACATTGAAGTCAGTCTAAACAGTATTTGTTAAGTTATAGGAAGTTGTAAGAAATTGTTACAGACGCCGGACGCCAACCTCCAACCGCCGTCGCAAAAAAACGGAGACCATAACAATATGTCACCACTTTTGGTGTGGAGACCATAACAATATGTCACCACTTTTGGTGGTGACATAAAAAAACGGAGACCATAACAATATGTCACCACTTTTGGTGGTGACATAAAAAATCTACCGCAAAAATACCAAAATTCATGAAAAACCACCGCAAATTTTTGGTCTTAGGTTGGCAGGTATGCTACTATTCTTGATCCTACAAGAGTCATTTGTACAAACAAATTAAAGTAAACAAAAACAAAGTATTTTCTGCGTTTTATTTGGCGTGACGACATACCAGCTTTGTCTTCTTACCCAGCCACAGTTATCACTTTAAAACCATATACTAGAATCTTTAATGAAATAAAAAAAATTGTTAATGGAAAACAAAAATGCTTAGATCGATGAAAATATAATAAATTAATGTATTATAGATGCATCGATTTGTAAAACAAATCTGCTCGTTAAATAACCCATCACCATTTTAACATACATGTTCATGTGATGAATCTCCTAAATTAATGATATTTTCGGCGAACAATAACATTATAGGCGTAATGATAAATCTGACTATGGTTAATCAGAGACTCTGGAGAGGAAATATTGCATTGCTAAGCTCTCAGTGCACTTAGTATAAAGGCGTACCGTGCAAAGACAGGCATACCGTATTATCTCTATTAAACGCACAGTGCGCTTAGCAAATTCCCGTTGGGGAGAGGTTTCAAGCAGCTAAATCCCCAGGAATTCTAAAAAATTATGATGGTGGGCGATAATGGGTGAAAATTTACTTCTATACCTTAAATCGATCAAATATAGTAGATATGTTCGTTTATTAGAGAGAATATGCTATATGTTATTTTTTACCTTGAATTGTGAGCTCCTAGACGACAAATTTAGTATATAAATACACTATTGTGTGTTATTTACACGAACACCTGAAGAAATTTCTTACGTTGCATGATGGGAAATTGTGACGTCATAAATCATGATGCATTATTTTAACGAACGGTGAAAATACTCTATTATCGCCCACAATGTTTTTTTATTAGAGCTTCGTCAGATCTCAATATTATCTTGACAGGACTTTCTAACCTGGGACAAAAAGTCGGGTGTGCGTTTATTAGAGAGTGTGTGTGTTTAATAGAGATAATACGGTAATAAAAAGTCTTTGCACGTGTTGAGACTGATTAAAATCCCTTAAGCAGTCTCTTAACAAATTTTTCGCACAATTTTCGACAACATGACTATAATGTAGAGACTAATTACAATTTACAAAGCCAATATCTTAATTAAAATCCAGCATGGCAGGCCTTGAATATTTCCATAAGTTTAGTTTAATTGAGATACTTTAATTGATACTAATTTTATTTTATCAGGCACTTGTGCGTACATGTTTATCTTTTGTTGTAGATAACATAAACCTACATTTTTTTACTTGATGCACATCTTAATGGAAGAGGTGCGATTATTGGCAAATATCCCTATGGTCAAAATGAATCATTCTTAGGTGTAACATGAAGAATAGAATGTCAGATAATACTTTGGAAAATATTAAAGTGCTCGGGCACACATAAGCTGAGATATGGATCATTTCGTTCAGTAAGGTTGTATTGACTTACATGGGGCTGTGCACCATTGACTTAACATGGGGTTATCATTAGATCCCAATAGATGCCATTGGATTCCATTGATTATCTCAGAAATACCAAAATACACTTTGACCTGAATCGATTGCAAACTTAATAATTTCACAATATGACACAAATGGTTCATCTCATCAATTGCGCAAATATGAAGTTAGCAATCGATTCAGGTCATACTTTAAATTAAAAGATTGTACATTTTTACATCATTTTTTCCCTACAAAATGGCTATAGAAAAATGCTCCAAAAACATCTTTTTCACTTATCAAATATTATAAAACTTTGCAAAACCAATGATTATTATATTATATTTCATTATTTAGTGTCATATTTGGATAAGATGTAGGAATGCGTAGGATGCAAATGGATTTTGATAGACACAAAAACACTTCCTAGTTTGGAATCTACACCTCTACACTTCATGATTGAATCATGAGCCTAATAAGTGGTAAATACATCAATACAGTGCTGAATATAGGTCAACAAGATACTAGTGTACATATAAATGTAATAATAAATCCAGTATACTCATTTTGAAAAATTAGATGAATTAATTTTTTTTCATGGGGAGATCACAATGGCAAGCGCATTACTTCCTTTGATAATTTAATCAAGTAAGTAAATTCATTAAATTCATTCTATTCCGCTCACCCCTCCAATTTATTTCCAATCAACAAAAATAAAGTTGTTTCAAAGATTCGCACAAATTTTTTTTTTATCAATAATCTAGACAAAGCAAATACTAATTAACTGTCTCATTGCGATTACATGTTCCTCACGTAAACAGGATACCTGGAGGAAGACTTGGATTGACAAACTAGTTGTTTCATTTAAAATTCAAAACATTAGTTTTGTACTTAAAAGGTTACTGAAATACATGTGATTAAATCATTTTTTAATGCTAAAAAAAACTAGGAAACAAAAAAACGGTACTTTACCGGCAAAACAAAAACGTTATGTTAATTTTTGGTCATGAATTAAAGATCAAAATGCAGCATAGCATTAACATACACTTGACGCAATTTAATCTTACATTACCAACTGTTTGAAATAATTGTTAAACAAGGAAATTGTGACCAGTTGAGTATTTGAATAGTCATTATCAGATTATGCATGATTCCGGGCATGATTCCCGAAACTCGATATCACTGATCGGTAATCTAAACAAATATGCATTGATTGTCTGAACCAAGGTGAGATAGTGATCATAATGTCGAGGTTTTAGATGTTTTAGAACTATATATTTGTTTTGAAGTACTTTTTTCTTCATTGTCTTGAAATGTGCATATATAGTGAGCGATATCTAAAAAAAGCGGGCTCGGTTTTTGGATAACAATCAAATTCTGAATCGGATTCAATCTGAGTAAATTTATTTCCATACAATCAATATCACACTGAAAATCAAATTTTACATTTAATGATACATTTCTGATAGAAACCAAGAGGTAAATAGTATAATAGAATTGTTACAACCCCCCCACGCCCCCTACACACTGTGACTCCATAAGCACAACTTGATGATCATGATGTTACTTTGGATCTCATATTTAATTTTTAGAATATTTATATTTCAATCTATTCTACATGATAAGCAAATATGTTCCTGAGCTGGGAATCTTTGATATCTTTGAAATCTTTGAAAGCGCGCAATGATATCAAATCACACCATATTTTTATTTTTGCTAAATACATGTAATGATAAAAGATGATGTTACAATTTAATATTCGTTTACGAATGATAAAACTTATGAAGGACTTACTAAAGTGTTCTGTTAACTTTACGAATTCGAAAGTCATTCGTAACTTTTTAAATATTTACGAATTTCATAAAGTTACGAATTTCAAATTCGTAACTTTGCGAAAGTTCTGTTAATGACCCCCAGATTATCATCTGGAGTCTAATAATAAGAACAAGGCACAGACGTGAACAATATCGTAGCAGTGTGACAGTGAAGAATTTAGGACGGAAAATCCAAAATGGCCACCTTAAAATTTACCCAGAATGCCCAAAAACTAATCAGTTCTTAACTTTGATACGTAGAAACATTCCTGAAAATTTCAGATGAATCCGTCAAATGGTTTGGCTGAAAACCTGTAGACAAGTCTTGAAAGGGAAGATTTTAGGATGGAAAATCCAAAATGGCCACCTTAAAATTTACCCAGAATGCCCAAAAACTAATCAGTTCTTAACTTTGATACGTAGAAACATTCCTGAAAATTTCAGATGAATCCGTCAAATGGTTTGGCTGGAAACCTGTAAACAAGTCTTGAAAGTGAAGATTTTAGGATGGAAAATCCAAAATGGCCACCTTAAAATTAACCCAGAATGCCCAAAAACTAATTAGTTCTTAACTTTGATATGTAGAAACATCCCTGTAAATTTCAATGAATCCGTCAAATGGTTCGGCTGGAAACCTGTAGACAAGTCTTGAAAGTGAAGATTTTAGGACGGAAAATCCAAAATGGCCACCTTAAATCTTACCCAGAATGCCAAAAAACTAATCAGTTGTTAACTTTGATATGTAGAAACATCCCTGTAAATTTCAAACAAATGAATCCATCAAATGGTTTGGCTGGAAACCTGTAGACAAGTCTTGAAAGTGAAGATTTTAGGATGGAAAGCCACCTTAAAATTAACCCAGAATGCCCAAAAACTAATTAGTTCTTAACTTTGATACGTAGAAACATCCCTGAAAATTTCAGATGAATTCGTCAAATGGTTTTGCTGGAAACCTGTAGACAAGTCTTGAAAGTGAAGATTTTAGGACGGAAAATCCAAAATGGCCACCTTAAAATTTACCCAGAATGCCCAAAAACTAATCAGTTGTTAACTTTGATATGTAGAAACATCCCTGTAAATTTCAAACAAATGAATCCGTCAAATGGTTTGGCTGGAAACCTGTAGACAAGTCTTGAAAGTGAAGATTTTAGGACGGAAAATCCAAAATGGCCACCTTAAATTTTACCCAGAATGCCAAAAAACTAATCAGTTCTTAACTTTGATACGTAGAAACATCCCTGAAAATTTCAGATGAATCCGTCAAATGGTTTGGCTGGAAACCTGTAGACAAATCTTGAAAGTGAAGATTTTAGGACGGAAAATCCAAAATGGCCATCTTAAAATTTACCCAGATTGCCCAAAAACTAATCAGTTCTTAACTTTGATACAAAGAAACATTCCTGAAAATTTCAGATGAATCTGTCAAATGGTTTGGCTGGAAACCTGTAGACAAGCTGAAAAGTGAGACGCCGCCCACCCGCCGCCCACCCGTCAAGCTGACAACAATATCATACCTTTATTAGGTATGATAAAAAGTGACAAAAGCAATAGACTCATAGACTCAGTTTAATAATAAAAATAATAAAAATAAAGAAAAGAAGCAAAAACAATAGACAAAAACTATAGGAAGCCCCTTAGAGGGCCCCATAATAAAGCCATACTTCAGAAAGATCTCAAAATTAATGCAAATTCCTGTTTTCCAAACCCCCATACACATACACAGGATAATTAGGAGTAAACTTCTTAAGGACTGACCATAATTTAACTGACTTATTTCAAAAAGGTTAACAATTTTTCAAACAAAAAATTATTGAAATAGAAAGAAAGTTCCACATATCACATTTTGATAATACTGGCTAACTTAAAATATAAGCCACAGCTATCTACAGGGTGGGCCAAACCAAAAAGGTGAACCCCTGCAACAGGCTATATTTTCCTACAAACATCTTGTAGAGAAAGGTCTAAAAATTTTGTTGATGCCATAATTTATGCTCAGTCTTGCAGAAATTACAAGAATTAAATAAACATGACTAAAATTAGATATTGTGCAAAATTTTACCAATGTGATTCACGGAAATTGTTGAAACACATTTAATGATCTTAAAAAAAGCTTACAGTGAGAGATATAAGTTTAGAGGAAGATTGTTGAAGGGTTGAAGAATCGCAAATGTTGAAGTTCACATCGATTTTCAGTGATGTTACGTTAGGGCTTATAATTTCTGCAAAGATTGGGTATCGATATGGCGAACTTTTTGAACACACGTTTTTCTTAAACAAGTCATCAAAAATTTTTGAAAATCTTACAAATTGTCAATTGAATGGCCATCTTTTGAATGGTAACAATATAATTTGAAATAGATATACATACTATCATCTATATTGTTTTAAAAAACACATCAAACACTTGTTTTGTTCTTGGTATCATGTTTCCAGAGTGAAATGAAACATCTTTCCGAACCTCATTGGAACAAAACGACATAAACACAACATGTTTAGGTCTCTCAATATTGTAATTGTACAAAGGATATTTTGGTTCATTTTAAAAAAGTATCTTGTTAATGAAATAAAAGTTTTTTTTGATTTTTATCTATTTTGGGGGGATTTTGTTTTAATTTTTTGAATACTTTTTTAAAATGAACCAAAAATTCCTTTGTATAACTTTAATATTGAGAGGTCCAAAAACATGTTGTATATGGTATTTTGTTCCAACAAGGTTCGGAAAGACATTTTATTTCATTCTCAAGAATTGGTAGAAAGGAGCAAAAACAATTGCACTAAAAAAACAAAAAATGTTAACAAAAACAGTTATATCAAATATTTCTTAATAATTTTCGCATTAAATTGTTGTTAATCAGTCAACATTACATAAAATACCATGTTTTTTACAGAATGTTTTCAATGATTGGTTTAAGAGAAAAACATTGTAGAATTCAGTTCTCCATATCGATACCTATCCTTTCAAGACTTCGAAAAATGAATGGTACAAACAAAAATTTTAGACCTTCCTCTACAACACGTAAAAATATGAAAGGATTCCTGCAGGTAATAAGGGAAATATAGCCTGTTGCAACAGTTCATTCTTTTGGACCACCCTGTATGTTTTAGGTCTAGTTGACATGATAATCTTCAATAATACGAGGATAATAATATAATATAATTTTAATATATCTCGTATATTTCCATTAGAAAACTTTTAAAAACAAAAAATGGCACACAAAGAGGGCAGTGTTCGCAGTAGCAATTCAAAATTTCTGAGTCCCAAAGATACTGCAAATCTGTGGTAGCCCCTGTACCCAATCAGATTTGCGGATATAAACACACTCCGACTAAGGAAAGAAAAAAACTTTGTGAGTTTTAAAATCTTGATTAAAATCATGTTTCATTGCTACCATGCTGCAGTAAAAGTTACCTCGAAACTATTTAATATCCAATATATAATATAATATATAAGTTGTTTTTGATTTTTCTGTCCAACCTTCGATCTCAAATTTTCATAAAAATGAGCAAAAACAGTTTTAAGGCGAACACTGGAGGGATTTGTTATACCTTTTTTATGGAGTACATTTTTATCATCCCTGGTGGTAAACCACGCCTGTGTGATATCAGTTTTCTCTCCAATGGCTTGTGATGTCCTGTTGACACAGATATTGGTGTTGGTGTTAGTTACTGTGTTATGTTGTCCAATAGACAGATGCTCCTTCAAGGCTTCTTCAGTAGTGCCATCTATAAATTAATCAAGCATATTTCAGAAAAGTTCATTTTTTTAAGTAAAGGTAGTACTAGTAGGAATGGATAAGCGTTACATTAACGAGAACACAAAATAACACATTCATGGCCCGTTGTGTTATTTAATATCTGGACTGATAAAAAATCATAGTCTTTATGAAAAAGTTAACACATAGCAGCAAAAGCAGATGATGGGATGACTTGATGACTGGATGATCAGGAATAGTGGGGAGGACAGAGGAGCCTTCAAGGTAGATGATTGGATGATGAGGCATAGTGGGGATGACAATAGGAAATAAGCTTTTAGGGACTTAAGTATTACATACCAGGTACTGAAAAGACGTATGTGTTGCCATCCTGCTCCAGTTTGTATCTTTTAGCTGATGGTTCACCAACTTCCCCTCCATTTGTGTCTTCTACAGCTAAATCAAAGAAAAAATAATATACATTTTAACAAACGAAACAAGGCATTATCATCCAAAATGTCATCAACTGCCATTTGTAACAGATGTCGACAGCCGAACGCCATCAACAAAAAATGGAAACCATAACATATTTATTTTTCAAACTATATAACTATGTTTCTTGTTATGACCCTCATAGTTATACATAATACTGCTTATTACTTGAAAAACAGCAACTCCACGGAGTAGCAAATCCCACTGAACAAAACATATTTTGATAAAAAAAACATCTTAAAATTTTTTTCTTAACAGAGCCCCTTAGTTCCTTTGTATTAGCACATAAAATCTAAACCAAGTCCACTGGTATTTTGAAATTCACCTACCATCTTGACAATTTCTTCTCAGCAGAGCTACTTTGTCTCTAGGTAGGAACATATAGATTTTGAACCGTAGTTAACTGGTATACCGTAGTTAACTGGTATTTGGGTTATCAAATATTACATTTTTAACGACAAATAGTGGCCTTTTTAATAAATAGCAGTCATCTTAAAAAGTTCTTCCGAAACAGATGTCCCTTATTTCTTAGCTTCAGCATATAAAATTTGAACCAAATCCATCAACTCATATTTGAGTTATCAAAGAATACGTTATTTAACGAAAAACGGCAGCCATTTTTAAATTCAGCAGCCATCTTGAAAATTCCTTCTTGAGCAGAGCGTGTTTGTCCCTCACCATCAACATATAAAATTTGAACCAAATCTATCAACTGGTATCTGAGCTCCCTTGTCTCTGGGCATCAGCATATAACATTTGAACAAAATCCATATTTAAAGATACGCTAAACAGATAAGTAGGTCAGTATTGCATAATCATGAAATGAACAAGTCTGAAAATACAATTGGTCAGAATGTACTAAAACCTGCTTGAAACTGAAAAACATTGTATGCTCTATTCCACACAAGTTAGAGGCTTTAGAAATTTGCAGTAACAATGAATAAGTGCCTGTAATAGACGGTTTGCCCAACCTTGAAAGCAAACTATTATAGACAAATTTGAAGAGCAGACTGATATTGTCACATTGAATTATGATAATAAGTAAATAATATTTTTGTAATATTATGCACTGGTATAACCATGCACAGTAGAATAACACACAATTGTAGAAACATGAATAAGTTTCTTACAATTAAATAATACATATATCCCATGGATTTCACCTGTTCCCTTGGTGACCAAACCTGATTTTTTACAATAAGATAAAGTACTCTTTTGACATCTTATCATGTTTATTTCCATATGTTATTGATGTGACAACTCAAATGATCATTAGGAAAACCAGAACAACGGCAACGCCAAAGCGTAGCGAATCCCATCGAACAGAAATGGCTGGCATTTTTACAAACAAAAAAATATATAGCAAATATCATAAAATAACACACATAAGAAAGGCCACCATTTTCAAAATGATTGCTCACTAGCCAAGTTGTCATCAGAAGAAGTAATATGCTTTTTTTTATAGTATTCACATACCAAATATGAACAAAATCGCTCCACTACTTTTCAAGTTACAGCAAAAATCGTCAAATAACAAATAAAGGCGGAGTAAAATACGTTACATGGTGGCCATTTTGAAAAATGGCTGCCTTCTTCCAAAAGTGTCATTAGACAGTGTACCATGCTTATAGTATTCACATACCAAATATGAACAAAATCGCTCCACCACTTTTCGAGTTATAGTAAAATACGTTAAAATGGCAGCCATTTTTCAAAATGGCCACTTTCTACCAAAAGTGTCATTAGACAGTGTGCCATGCTTATAGTATTCACAAACCAAATATGAACAAAATCGCTCCACTTCTTTTTGAGTTATAGTAAATATGCTAAAATGGCACTACTTCTTGAGTTACAGCAAAAATCGTAAAATAACGAGTAAAGGCCGCCATTTTTCAAGATGGCTGCCATGTGCTTCTTTAATATCTACATTTCTAGCTTTATCAATGTCCTATATAATTTTTTTACATTTAAAACATATTGCTATTACAGTTGTACATATTTTAAATGAGCGGCCATTTTGAAAATCGGCTTTCGAGCAGAACTTCCACCCCCAATTCCAATGTTGAAACTTGCCTGGTTACGATTATGCAGGAAATCAACACGGGACGATAGTTGTACACCTTCCTGGCTTACCTCTGAAAAATGGCTGCCTTCTTCCAAAAGTGCCATTAGACAGTGTACCATGCTTATAGTATTCACATACCAAATATGAACAAAATCGCTCCACCACTTTTCGAGTTATAGTAAAATACGTTAAAATGGCAGCCATTTTTCAAAATGGCCACTTTCTACCAAAAGTGTCATTAGACAGTGTGCCATGCTTATAGTATTCACAAACCAAATATGAACAAAATCGCTCGACTTCTTTTTGAGTTATAGTAAATATGCTAAAATGGCACTACTTCTTGAGTTACAGCAAAAATCGTAAAATAACGAGTAAAGGCCGCCATTTTTCAAGATGGCTGCCATGTGCTTCTTTAATATCTACATTTCTAGCTTTATCAATGTCCTATATAATTTTTTTACATTTAAAACATATTGCTATTACAGTTGTACATATTTTAAATGAGCGGCCATTTTGAAAATCGGCTTTCGAGCAGAACTTCCACCCCCAATTCCAATGTTGAAACTTGCCTGGTTACGATTATACAGGAAATCAACACGGGACGATAGTTGTACACCTTCCTGGCTTACCTCTGAAGCCTGTACCCTGCAATCTCTTTATATAGGTTAGCGGGAGCGCTGCGCCTGCGCAGTTTTAAATTTAGGCACACACTTAAAAGGACAATAGTTATCTTACAATTTAGCCCAATTCTTGAATTTGAAGATCTACTCCTATATTGTTTAATGTGCATTATAATAGATCGATGTGATGGTAAGAACTAGTATGTGATATTATCAATTTTACATTTTTACCAATATTGCTAAGGGATATAATAATACCATTCCAACTAGCTAACGGCAACTATGGGAGTAGCAAATCCCAACGAACTAAATCCCGACCGAACTTCGTTCATTGGGATAATTAATGATAACTCACTCATTGAATTACTTGTGCTGGAAGATATGCTTTTACAAGAACACAAATGTGTACAATATGTTCCCACCAATGGGTGATCCTGTCAAATGGTTATCTTGAAAATGAGTAGACAAGACTTTACAATTTACCCAGAATGCCCAAAATTTAGTCAGTTCTAGATTTTCATACGAAGTACCACCACTGAAAATTTGAAATTGATTCGTCACACTGTTGACCAGAAAACATGTAAACAAAACTTAACCTTTAGCGTCCGCCCATTCAAAATTACCGCCAGAATCCACCGGCGGATCCGGACGACACAAATCTAACTTTTGAAAACTTTACTTTTTCCCGCCGTTCTTAAGATCCAATTAGATTGCCCGATTTATTCAGACCTTAGTAGGTGACTTCCTGTTGACCTAGAAATGGCGATCCATTTCGAAAAATATTTCTCAATTCAACAATTTAAACAGTGTTTAAGTCGTTTTTAGTAAAAAATCGTACAAAATGACGGCCAAATATGATCACAACGAAAATGTGGAGGAAATGGATTGCGATTTCGAGCTCTTTAGGCTCTTGGAAGCCGATAATGGTCATCGAAAATAGAAACTAGAATATTTTCTGAACTGAAAAGAAGAACATTCGATCGCTGCAAATTCAGTTTTGGATTCTGACCAGACATTGAATCTCCCCTGGGGCGAAACGGCAGATTCCGGAGGAGTATTCATGGTATATTTATGCCCAGTCATGTTTATGTACGAAAAAAATTCATGAGAACATTTTTCTCATGAGCCAGGCTAGTGTATCTTACCTTTGTGAAAATTTTATCCAGATTCATTCAGTAGTTATTGAGATATTAATTATTTAGTCCAGGCATATCATTTTTGAAAAATAAGTCAGATGCGTGGGATATTTGCTGAAATAAGTCAGAGTGCAGAAGGTTAACAGACAAGATTCTAGGATGGAAAATCCAAAATGGCTGCCTTGACATTTACAGTACAGGTCACGCCGAGGATCTCACCTCGGTGCATCGAAAGGTGCATCGAATGACGCATCGATCGGTGCAACGATCGGTACGACATCGGTGCACCGAGCTGCATCGCGGCGCATTTAATCGATGCATCGATCGGCAAGCTAACACGCCGACCGACGCATTCCTCGGTGCATCGTGCAACGTGCATCGGTGGATCGAGTAATGCATCAATAGAGACAGAATATTAAGACAATTTAATCATGCAGAAGGCCCACGCCAATAAATGAATTTTGAAATAAATAGTTCTTGAAACCAAACTTGAAAAACGTGCCGCAGAAAAGAACAGGGGTCAAGACGCGTTCACAGATTTAAATTAATTAATAACAGTTAACTGTCAGACTGTCAGTCGAATGTAAAGGTACACTTATGTTTGCAAGCAACGCATTTGTGTAATGCAATGATACATTTCGATATTCTTTTCAGATAAACAGAAACTATATACGAAAATATGAATTATTTTACTTCAAACATTATGTTTAAGTCCACATAATAATGAAATAGCCTAATCCCTTCTTGTTCAATGGGACGTTTAAAAGCAAACCATTATTATTATGGAGCTATCTAGATTTCAGCCCTGAATATACCAAAGTACCGTGTACCTCTGTCATACTACAAATAGCATTAGACGTTAATACAATGTTCAGTATTTAAAACAAGGCCTCTGGTTTTCATGATATTTTCATTTTAGACATGTTTGAGTATTTTGAACGTTTAAAAGCAAACCATTATTATTATGGAGCTATCACACTTATGACATAAGGGCTCATCGTTCGACAACGTGTGAATACTCTGCTTGGGCAGACAGCGGGACACGGCATGTATACACGATGGGCAAAACAAATATCTAGATATATCCAGTAACACCAAATTAAAAAATAATTAATAAAAAAATGTATGCCCCAAATAACCACT